ACACTGCCCAGTGTTGCGCCATCCTCACAATTGTTCTTACTGATTGAGTTCACTGTTGCAGCCAATGAATTGATCCATCTTGTTGAAGGCTGATGCATTTGAATTGTGGTGCTGGAAAAGACTACTGAAAGTACCATGTGTTGCTAAAAGGACAAACCAGTCTATCTTGAAAGAAGTATGGCCAGAGTATTCCTTCGAGGCAAGTACTTACGACTTTGCCCTACATACTTCGGACATATTGTCAGGAGAGACCAGTCCCTGGATAGGGCCATCATGTTTGGTAAAGTGGAAGGGTGGCAAAAAAGGAAGGCCTTCAACGAGATGGATTGACACAGTGACTGCATCCATGGATCCAGACACAGGAACAACTGTGAAGATGGCACAGCACCGTGCCGTGTTTCCTTCTGTTGTGTAGAAGGTTCCAGTGGCTCTGAACCAACTCAGTGGCACCTACCAGCAACAGTGTGGTACTTTCAGTATCCTTCGCCAGGACTGCTCTTCTTCAGTCTCCCTTACTCACTGCCCTGTTTTCTTTCACATGTATCATGGCTTTGGTCAGGCACATCAAAGTCTTCAAGGTCACATCCTTGCTTTTCAATACTTCAAAGAGGTCTTGGGCAGCAGATTTACCCAATGCAATGCATCATTTGATCTCTTGACTGGCTTCCATGAGCATTGTTTGTGGATCTAAGCAAGACAAAATCCTTGACATCTTCCATCTTTTCTACATTTATCATGATGTTACTTATTAATCTAGTTGTGAGGATTTTGGTTTTCTTTACATTGAGTTGTAATCCATACTGAAGGCTATAATCCTTCATCTTCATCAGTAAGTGCTTAAGGTGTTCCTCACTTTTAGGAAGCATGGTGTGTCATCTGCATATCACAAGTTATTAAGCCTCCCTCCAATCCTGATACTACATACTTCTTCATATGACTGAGCTTCTCTGATTATTTGCTCAACATACAGTTTGAGTAAATATGGTGAGAGAATGCAACCCTGATGCACACCTTTCCTGATTTTAAACCATACAATATTCTCTTGCGCTGTTCACACATACCTTTTAATCTATGTACAGGTTCCAGTGAGCCCAGTGCAGTATTCTGGGATTCCCATTCTTCTCACAGCTACCCATAGTATGTGTTGGGCCAATGCCTTAGTAGAGTAAAACAAGTTACTCTCTGCTTTCAACCAAGTTCCATCTGTCATCAGTGATAATAGTCCTTGTTCCACGTTTGTCTTCTGAATTTGTCCTGAACCTTTAGAAGCTCCCTGTTAATCTACTGCTGCAATCATTATTGGGTTCTCTTCAGCAAAATTTTACTTGCATGTGATATTAATAATATTCTATAATTTAAGCATTCTGTTGGGTAACTGTGGTAGTCTGGGTTGACTAGAGAAACAAATCCAGAGACACTCATATGTGTATAAGAAAGAGTAATTGTATATTAAGAAAACATCCCAGCCCAATCCTGATCGTCCATAAATCCGATTCCAGTCTATAAATTCCTCTTCAGACTCGTGGAACACAAGCAATGATGCCAAATGCAGGAAGATCACAGGCCAGTGGGTGGGAAGTCTTGTGGATCCAGTGGCAGAGGAAGCATCTCAGCGCTGGCATGGGTCGCCATGTGGCTCCTCCTGCTCTAGGCCTCTAGCTCCATCAGTGGCTCCATGTGGCTTGTCAACAGGAATGTGTAGCAGAGAGTGTCTGTCCTCCAGTGAGCTATTTATCTCCGTAGTGCCTCCAAATGAGGTCATCAAGCTGTGGTGTCCAGACAGCCTCCAACTTTATTTCTTGATGAATAAAAACATTCTTGGAAAATGCTTTTGCACTGGTCCGTCTTGTGTCAGTCCAAGAATTTCACCTATAGCGGCACAATACGAATACCCCTGGCCGTCCCTCTTAATCATGGCCTCAGTTCCGAAAACCAACAAACCAAAGTCCTATTCCATTATTCCTAGCAGCGACCTGATTGACAGGCTAAACTCCACCCCTTCGCTCTTACTCGCCTCAAGTTGACACCAGATTATGTGACTACCACAGTCACCTTTCTTTGGAATGGGTACAAATGTGGATCTCTTCCAGTCCTTTGGTCATGTCTTCCAAATTTCCTGGCATAGATGAGTGAGAGCTTCCAGTACTTCCTCAGCTTGTTGAAACAACACAGTTGGTATCCCATCAATTCCTGGAGCCTTGCTTTTGGTTAATGCTTTCAGAGAAGCTTGGATTGATAATGGTAGGTGAGTTAGTTAATTGTGCTAACCTGGCGGATAATCACATGTGGGGCTAATTGAAAGGTGGAGGGATAAATGGGTGGTGAGCCTCTCCTTTCTAGTTCTCGGGTCTCTTGCTTTGTGATGGTCGCACCAGGGTGCAGCTGCCTTAGCAGTTCCCTGCTTCAGCTTGCAAGATTGACTTCCTTCAAGACATCCCCAAAGAGAAGCCACATGGATCTATCCCGATGCAGCCCTGGGTGCTGGAGCAGCCATGTGGAGACCCCTGCCAGTGCTGAGATGCTTATTCGTTCACTGACTTCAGCTTTCCTCCTGCAGTCAGCATCATTGCCTCTGTTTTGTGAGGTGGAGGACTTTGTGGACTGGTGTTGGGTTAATGGGTTAATGTTGGACTTGTGGGCTTGGGCAGCATTGGGTTGGGTTGTTTTCGTGAGGCCCACTTTCTTTACATAAAACTCTCTTATACATGAGTTGCTGTGGATTTGTTTCTCTAAAGTACCTAGACTAATACAGTAGGAAACATTGATAATGATAATAATTCCAGTCAGTGTTCTAATGGTTTTTCTTATATCAACTCATTTCTTCTGATTAATCAAATCTAACCAAAGCAAACCTACTGCCATCAGTTTGATTCTGACTCATAGGGACTATAGGACAGAGTAGGAGGACTCCTTGGAGTTTGTGGACTGCAAATCTTTTGGGGACCAGACAGCCTGCCTCATCCTTCCCCCTCAGAGTGGATGGTAGTTTTTAACTGTCACCCTTGTGGTTAGCCACCCAGTGCTTATCTCCTTGTGCCACCAAGGCTCCTTGAACTGAGCAGCAGAGCTGTGATCTGTCCTCAGCCAGTCTTGAATCCAGAGCTCATTCTCTTTGTTCCCCCTTCTCATTGGCACTTTGCAGTCATTTCAGGGACACCTCTGCCCCTGGCCTCCTCTGTTCTTGGACACTTCTAATGTCTTCTTTGTGATTGGCCCCAAATTCTCTGAAATATTTGTAAAATCTTGTGGGCCTTTTTGTGGGGCAATGTCGGACCTCCTCTGACTTCACGAGCTGAAGGAGAATCTTCAGCATCAGCTGCCCAACTCCAGTTCCTCTGAGGCTGAGGCCAGACACGCCCCTACCCTTCCCTCTCTTTCCCAGTTTTGACAGGTACCAGTCTTCCCACCCATGGCACTGTACTTCTCAGCTGGGATTGGCAATTCATTGCAATGACTACACAGAATTCGCAGACCATACTCATGATTTGGGGCTTTCATAGAGGAGTTAATGGTTATAATTCAGGATTAGAAATGTTCAGGATCCAGTTCTTTGCTCAGGTAATTTGTTTGTTTGGCTCCCTCACTTTCAGTCCACGATTTGGCTCTTGGACTGGCCCCTGCCCTACTTGGGGCATTGTTAACAAAGCTTTTAGTGCTGCTGAGAAGCCTCAGCCTGAAGGCACTCAGCAATAGCTCCCTTGGTTGGCAAATGTAGCTCCCTAAATTAAGTCCCTGGAAGGACCCTACTCCAGAGTGGGGACTCCTATTCGCCCTGGAAGCCCACCACTTCTCCTTGTGCTCTGCTGCTTCCCCTCCCCTTCTGCTTCTTTGGTATCACAGATTTCTGTCCCGGAGTTGCGGAACTTGACTGAGCAGGGATTTCAGGATCCAAAAGATGTGCTGCACTCCTGGTTTTCCTTACTCAATCAGAATGGGTATAAACAAATAGTGATTTCAGGTTTTTGGTGTTATTTTAAACTTGCTTGTTGGCCGTGTTCAATCTAATCTCTGGTTTGTTTTAGAGCAATACTAACTAGCTGAATTTCTGTTTTCATGTGATGACCCTTCCGAAATTAGAATACAGTATTTGTCTCAGGACTCTCTCCTTCCTCACCTTCTCATACCTAGCCCGGGTCCCTGGGTGTTCTTGTACAAGCTATTTGGCCTCTTAGAGACTCAGTTTTCTTTTCTTTTGAGACTTAGTTTTCTCACCTCTGATTGCCAGTTGGCTCCTTGGAGCCCAGTGTGTCAGAATGGAATTCTTAGTGGCTAGTTTCTGAGGAGGCGATTGCATGCCTTTTGAGGTACCTTTAGTGGATTTGAGCTCAGGTGTCATAGTGGTTATGTGTTGGGCTGCTAGCTGCAGGAGAAAGGTGATGCTTTCTACTCTTGGAAATAGTCTCGAGGAAACTCTCAGGGACAGGTCTATCCTGTCCCATCAGGTCACTATGAGGCAGAATTGACTCGATGGCATGAGTTTGGTTGGAACTTTTTTAGTGCATTTGAGCCTTTTTGTTAGCAGAGCGTGGGAACCGTCCGTAAGACCCAAGAACTCCCACCGATGACTAAGAGGTGATCATATCTACTTATTAGATCAACTTTAAGGTTAGATTAAAATAACCTAAGTATTCTAGATATTTAAAGAGGGGTGCCTATATAGTTGTATATGTAAGGCTATATATTTTTAGTATATTGCTTGCATAGAACTTCATCTGAATTTGTTATCCTATATCATATGGAACTAAATTATCTCCCTTCAGTTTTCAGATGAAGCAAGAAGTAACACCCTGTTGAAATGACTTAATTCTAGAAAACTTTTTTTCTTGTTTTATTTTGAGAGGTTCTTATTTTTGCCTTAAATGCACTACTGTTTGATTTATAGGATCAAAGCTATGTTCTTTGAAAGATGATGATTAGCATTAAGAATTATATTTTCAATCTTATAAGCATATTGTCTTTTCCCATTCTCTTGTGTAGGATGATGATGTTTCTATTTTCAGCGTTGCAGGGGGCCGGATACTCTCAGTAATAAAGACGCAGCTGATGAAAGGCCAGGACAGCAGGGATCCTTTCTGTGAAGCAGTAGAGCAAGTGGCTCAGGATTTGGATTTGAGGATTAAAAATATTATCAGTTCTCAACAAGGAGATGTAGCTGTGTACACCACTGATATCAGTCCTGCACGGGTAATGAGCTTTTTAATCCATCACCCTTCTTTACAAAACAGCTTCTCTCCTATTTGTGCTTGAAATGGTTTCCTATTCTTCCTGAAGTCATAAGAATGTATTTCCTGTGTTCTAAAATGTCATTGGAAATTTACATATGCTACCAGGATTATGGGGCCTCCCTAAGTGGCAAGTGCCACAGCGGCGGTACATACTAGATCCTGACTTAACTCCAGCGGTACGGAAGGACTTGGCTAGCAGACTGTAGCCGTGGAACAGCTTTTTGGAGTATGTGTTAGAGTCTTCTTAATTGTGCTTAATACCTTTTCTTTATTGATTAATTGATTTCACATCTCTCAGGGACCAAGTTTAGTTAATTTTCTAAAATAATACCTGGTTTTAACTTTACATTAAAGATGGGGCGGGGCGGGGGGTGGTTCTTGGGCATTGCCCCATGTGGTTCCTATGTGCTAACAGCTGCTCTGACTATCTCGATCAGTTCACAACCAGGGTACTGCTGTTAGAGTGTAGCTCTGGAACGGGCACCATTTCAGATAATTAAGGACACGAATCGTTTCATTTCCTGGTTCTCCTTTTTTTAAATTTAAGCAATTCAGGGATGTTTGACATGTCACATAGTTTAAGGAAACACAAAATAATATACTCAATGAAGTTATCATTAAACAGTATGTAGTTCTGTGGTACTGATGAAAAATATATTTTAAGGACTTGTTTGTGATAAGTAACTTTTCGGTGTAGTCACCCGGCAGCCTGGGTCTGTCAGGTCAAGTAAGGAAGTGAAAGTCATGTTGATGAACAGTGATGAAAGTGGCCTGGGTGCCGTGGCTGTCCCAGAAAAGGCAGCTTGGATACTTAGGCCCAGAGTCCAGCCACTGTGTACGTTAGGCCCTGTCATTCTCTCTGTTTTAGCAGCTTCCCCAGTGTGAGGCAACACTCATAACTAGTAAATTGGAAGTAAACCCAGCCATCCAGGAATACCTTCAGAGTTATGCCTGCATTCTTCAGCACATCTCCTGGTTATCTTCCTCCTTTGCATACTTTTTATATGGTAATTTTCTTCCTGGGTCCTCTTTATTTTTACATAGTTTTGGGGTGAACTATATTTACAGCAGTTCTCAACCTGTGGGTTGTGACCTCTTTGGGGGTCCAATGACCTTTTCACAGGGGTCACCCAATTCTTAACAGTAGAAAAATTACAGTTATGAAGTAGCAATGAAAATAATTTTATGGTTGGGGGTCACACAACATAAGGAAGTGTATTAAAGGGCTGCAGCATCAGGAAGGTTGAGAACCTCTGATATACACCTATATATATATGTATTCTTATGCTACTGTATTCTCTTTACCTCTTCCTAAGCTCTTGGCCTGCACATCTAGTCAACTACTGGGGATTTTTAGTTGGGTGTCCCAGAAATATGCATATGTAAAGCCCAAACCTCACAACTTACTGCCAATGAGTCAATTCTGGCTCATTGTGACCCTACAGGACAAGGTAGAACTGGCCCTGTGGGTTCCCAAGGCTGGAAATCTTTATGGGAGCACAAAGGGTATCCCAGACACAGCTCAATGCCTTACTTTCCCCTTATTTTCTTAGCCCCTAAATGTAGTCTTCTGCCTGCATTCCTTCTCTTAGTTCCCTGCATCACTATCTACCCATGGATCTATCACTTGAACCATCAGGAGTGGTTGGACCCGATTTCCTTTCCCTTCTTCCTGTGTCTAGTCGCGGAAGTTCCATGTCTCCTCTTTTAATCTGCTTTCTCATGATCTCCAGTGCCACTGTCTGGTTCAGATCTTCGTTTCTAGTCTGCACTACTAGCCTCTTCATCTGTGAACTGGTCTCCAGGTTTGGTAACTTCCTTACCCGCGGATTTATTTTAGACTTGCCATCAGTGCTTCTTCTAAAATCGGAGTGGGATCATTTGACTTCTTTACACGATAAATAACATATTGTTATCCTGAATCTGCTACATTCAGAATGAGAAAGGATTCCTGGTGGCAAAATGGTTAAGAACTCTGCTAACCGAAAGGTTGGCGCCTAGAGCCCACCAGCCACTGTATAGCAGAGAGAGAGGTGGCAGTCAGCTTTCTTAAGACGACAGTCCTGCCTGCAACTGTGATGAATTGACCAGCTGCCAATCGTGACTTTGTGACCGTTCCTTTGTGTTTTATGTCCTATAAACATAGTAGATATGACTGAATCCTTAGACACCACTATGGCCTTGTGCTGATGCTCTCCCTCATCCAGATGATTTGTCTTGTCTTGTCTTGTTTGTGTCATGTTTGTCTTAATAAATGAATTTAAGATCTCTTTTCCCCCTCTAACAGTATTCATGTAAAGTAAGCACTATTAAAAGTAAGCAATTTTTACCTTTATTTGTCACCTGTTCTATGCTTAAAACGAGTAATAAACATGACTAGGGACTCTGTGCGGTCTACTGTGGGAGAGGGCCATGAGAGGGGGATGGTGACAACGAGAGTTAACATCCTGGGTGACACCCACCCGAGTGACACCACTGCCCCGCCTCTGTTTCCCTTTCTAAGTCACTCCATTTGGCATGTTCCCACTGTATCATGCATGTATACACATATTTCTATTAGAAATAGTACTTAGCACTTTGTATTGCCATTGTATGCTTACTGATTTATCTTATCAAGTACACTGTGGGCTCCTTGAAGGCAATGGTATTTACCTTAGTAGCTAGCTTTAGGCTTAGTGCACTAATAAGGTAGTGTTGATTTTGGAATGAATGAAAGTCAACTGGTTTCTTTTGAGTTTTTTCATTTGATTAAGAATTTATAATCACCATGATTGTGGCCTTCAGATTTCTAGAATTGCATCTATTTCTTGTGTAAATGAGAAATTGTAAAAATGCACAGGAAGGTTAAACCATGAGACTGAGATCAGGTCAGTAGAGAATGCTACACTTTTCTTTCTCAAAGTACAATGTTATTTTGATCAGAACCCAAGGTCTTTGATGACACCCCTCTCTCTGTTCTGGAAATTGATAAAGTGGATCACAGCATGGCCTTGAAAAGAAATATTCACATGCCTTATAGGTACTACTCACACCTAAGCCTTTTGGTTTTTAGCAACAGAGGAGAAATGAGTGAACAACGCCACATGACATGCAAAATGTGACTGAAACGCTCACCTGGGCCGATTATTCTATTGACTTAAACTATTCTTTGTTCCAGCCTAAATCACATGCCATAAACCATGGCACTGTGTACTGTGGCAGAGACACTGTGAAAATTCTCCTGGTTCTTTTGGATGAAGAAGCTGCTGATGCACCCACCAAAAACAAAGCAAAACTTTTATATGATGATGAAAATCTAGTTCATTGTAATGGGACGTCTATTCTTACTCTTTTCAGGTAAATAATGTGGAAATGATATAAATGTACTTATGAACCCTAGTCTAATGCTAAGAGAAAATTTTGAAATACATTCTTTGATTATTGCACAAATGTACACTTACGATAGGAAATTTAGAAACTGCAGAATAGTATAAAACAAAACTAAACCCAGACCCACTGATAGTGAGTTGATTCCATCCGGTAACAACTCTCAGGGACAGGGTCAAACTGCTCCGTAGGGGCCTGAGGCGATACATCGCTATGGGAGCCAACTGTTTCATGGCTCTTGTGGAACAACTGGTGGATTCCAGCTACTGACATTTCAGGTAGGAACCCAACATTGACCCCATTCTGCCTCCCTAGAATAGTAGAAAGAAAAATATTATAGAGAGCTGAGTATTTGAATGTGAAGAGCGAGATTATATGTGAAAGTATGTCAGGTTTTTTTGTTTTCGACTATATTTTTTTTATTCTTGCATTTTTACTTTTGAGTTTTTAAAGATTCCTTGCTTTGGGGGTACCCAGTGAAAGATGGCCCAGGACCACCAGATATTTACTATGTTAATAGCCTCCTTTATTATAAAGTGATTATAGTAATAAATCTACTATGACATGTATTCATCTGATAGGCAAAATTCTGCCCTTGTGAATGATTATTACCAGAATATTTCCGCTATCAACATCCCCCATGGCCAGTGTAAACAGTGCTCAGTCATTTAAGAATTCAATGTGTACAAATCATCAACTCGGTTATCATGAAAAGATCACTGAAGATATGAGTGCTATAGCAAAGTGTGGTGAAGAAAGCAGATGGCGCCCAGTATCAAGTAGAATAGCGTCTGGGATCTTAAAGGCTTGTTTGTATTTAAAGAAGCAGCCATCTAAGTGAGGTGTTAACTAAGCCCAGCTGGAGAAGCACACCAATCTGTGTGACCCAAAGACAACAAATAACAGAATCCAAATACACTAGAGGGAAAGGCATCGGAACTTAGATTGTACACATCCAATTTTCAGAAGACCGTGGATGACAGCGGGAACCCAAATCCATCTTGCAGGGGCCCTGCCTAGATTAAACCTTAGTCTCTGGTGGATGCCCTCTGACACAGTGGAGGGATATGAATAACCTTGCTGTTGCACTGAGACTATTGTAAACTCAATTATGGCAGATGGAATTACGTAGATTAAAATGTGGGACCTGGTCATTAGATTTCCCTTTTGACCCATTTTGGATTTGTTCTAGTTTTCAATATTTCCATTTTTGTCAGCAGAGGTCCCCACCCTCCCCCACCCAGCTCTGGTTTATCTTACTGTTGTTGTTGGGCTTATCTTTTTTTATTTAAAAAAAAATTTGCCATTTTCATTATTTTGTTGTTGTTTTTGTATGTTTTCCAGTACGTGAAGCATAGGATGGCCAGATGTATGGAGACAGTAACTGGTGTAATGGCTTATTGAAGATGGTGGGGGGAGGTTGCAGGGAAATGTCTATGTATTTTTATGTGCTTATTGCATACCTTTCCTTTGTCAGGTATGACATATCAGATACAATTGGACTCTGTTTTCATTTATATGTGTGATGATCAATGATAAGTATATATGGCTAAAGAATTGTGTACAGGAGGGGGGATGTTCAGGAACCGATCATGGTGGTGTATAGACACTGCTTTTGAAGTATGACTGAACTGTGGAAGTGTGTTATATATGACTCAGAGCTCAGTATAAAAGTACTGGGGAAAATTCTTTTACTTTTCTATGCGTCAACAATTTGGCTAGGTGCTTTTGCTTGCATTTTCTTAGCCCTCATAAGAACCCCATTTAATAATATCCCCACTCTGTAAGTGAGTAATTCGAGACCTGGTGGAGACACATGGGAGAGGGAATTTGCCCAGGAGAGCTAAGGTAGCTAACAGCAAGTGCACCTTTCTCCCAAGCCTAAATTTGTGCTGGTATTATGTGTAAGACTTGATACTCTTTAGTCCAATAACAATTAAGATGATGATTTTTAAATGAGATGATATCTATTTTATGTATTATAATACTACAGAGCCTGTATTTTAATTGTATAAAATTTTTATTTACCCTTAGAACACAATCTAATGGAAAAGAACATTTCTGTTTCCCTCTTTTGCAAAGTTTTTGTTGAGTTCTACTTTTTTTTTAGAGGAGGTTATTTTCTGTTTCTAGAATTCTTTTTAAATGAAATGAATTCCCCAATACATTTTGAAAGGGGATTTACTTAGTATTTAGGTAATTGTTCATGTTGCCAAACACCTTTAAATTGTTGCCAGTTTGGATGTTCTACGTTGTTAAGTGTCATCCAGGCAGTTCCAACTCATAGCCACCTTAAGTAAAACAGAGTGAGACACGGTCATCCTCACCTTGTTAGGCTGGAGCCAGGTTCTACATCAGTACTTACCATGGTCACTATGCAGACAGTTGCCAATCCACGTTAAAGCTAACTCGTCATGGTCTGGATCACATATGGGGTGTGAATATAAATGAAGTCTTCTTTCTTAGGAAATTCTTTTTTTAATTAGATAATGGTCTTTTGAATCAGGAGGGCTCTGACTGGAATTGATAAGCTCAAAAGAAAGTTATTGAGGAACCCAGGTTGCTCTAGCTCCAAAGCTCCAGTGTCCCCTCCATTCTGCCTTCTCTGATCCTCCTACGGTGAAAATTATGGATGTATGTAGATAGTCCCTACAGGATAGGGTTTCATTCCTCCACTTCTATTTAAAGTTGGTTCTGACATCCATCAAATGTTCATTTGTTTCTTACTTTTCACTACTATTGCCTTTGATTATCAGTATCTTTATAAATCAAGGCTTTGTCTTTGGGAAATGCTACCATTTAAACTTACTGACATTTAACTACATATATACAGGAAAAACACACATCATAAAAATATATGCCTAAAAATATGTGAAGAAGAGTAGTCTGATATTTGCATTTTTCAGTTATGGTAATAATTCCACTTGTGGAAGGTTCTGGATTATCTGAATTAGCCCTGGGAAGGGGAGAGTGTTTCCAGCCAATAAACTAGTGAATGATATCTGTATGGTACTTTTCTTTCTTTCTTTTTTTAAAATTTATATATATTTCCAATGTAACATCTGGTGGCTTCCTTCACCTGCCTATCGATGTTAACAATATGATCAAGCATTTGGACCCATGTTTTCAAACAATGGAATCCTGGCTTTAGTTATAAGAAGCAATCTATTTGGTAGTGTTTTGAACAGTAAAACATAAAAGGGACCATCTGTCACTGGACATCGGAGAATATCAGCAAATTACCTGCTACAGTGTTACATGTCATACATATTATTAATGCGCAGATGGCTGAACAAGTTAGTCCTGAGTGTGGCACTGTAACTCAATTATGTTGTCAGTCGGGGCCTACCAGTACTTACTTCTACTCTTGCACTTGTCAGTTTCCATTCTGAATTTTAGCTTCGTTAACTTCTCATGTAGACATCAGGATATGTCAATCCATAGCTAATATATGAATCAACTTTCTAAACCTTACAATATCTTGTACATTGTCTTATAAGTGGTAGAATCTTAAATAGGAGTTGGATTAATTTATCATTCAAATTAATACTACTTAGAACTCTCCGAACATTTAAATTTAATGTTATAAACAATTTTTTGGTCCAATGGTTAATTACTCAGGTGCTAAACAGAAGGCTAGCAGTTCAAACCTGCCTGTTGCTCTGTTGGAGAAAAAAACTATTGATCCACTCCAATAAAAATTTCAGCCTAGGACACCTTAGGGACAGCTATATTCTGACTTATAGGATGCACATAAGGTTGCTGTGGGCCGGAACAGACTCGAGGGCAAACAACATTAAGAACAATGGAAACAATCAAGTCCAGTTACCTTTCATGCTATAATTGTGCTTTATGTTAGGGAGGAAGGAAAACTAGTTTTATTTCAATTTAGAATCATTTTATTGGGGGCTCATACAGCTCTTAACACCATCCA